GAACGTATTGCCTGAAAGGGTGGTGGAGGTCGATTCGATAACAATTTTTAAAAATGCGGTGGATGGGTATTTGAGGAGGACGGTTTTGTAGGATTATAGGGAAAGGGCTGGGGAGTGAGATTGACATAACATTGCTCTTCTCACAAAGCCGGCACAGACTCAATGGGCCGAATGGCCTCTTTTTGTGCTGTACGATTCTATGAGATCTTTAATGCCCACCTGAACAGGCAGATGGGACCTTGGTTCTATCGGCATCTCTAATAGTGCAGCACATGCCCAGCACTGCATTGAAGTGTCAGCTTAAACTATGTGATTGCAAGTCTCGAAGTGGGGCTTCAATCCACAACATTCTGACTCAGAGGCGATAGTACTACCAACTGAGCCAGGCTGACACAAGATATATATTTAACAGGGTTTTAAAAGACTCATAGAGAGAAAGCAAGGTGAAGAGACTTTGGGAGAGAGTTCCAGAGAGCAAGGCTATAGTGGCTGAAAACATAGCCATCAATGGTAGATGAGGAAAGAGCAGTATCCGAATTAGAAGAGCAAAGAGTGTGTGCTGGAGAAGAGTGACATTATGTAGAGGATTGAGATCTTTAAGGTATTTCAAAGTCAAGACAAATGGCAGACCATGGAGGGGTGTGCTGTCACCTAGTGGCCAGTTGGTGTTATACATCAGAAGATTGCAATTTCAAGACTGTTACTGTGAGGAGAGCGTGCACTAAGGTTTGCTAAGTTCAGCTATTTGACTATAGAACTTCTGTTCACTTCAGGTTTGTGCCCACTGTAACGTTTAGGGTTATGTTCCATTTTGCTCACTTCATGGCTGTTTGCTTGACATCACTGTGCGCACACCTACAGTATATAAATTGCTTTGCAATGTCTCAATGATGTGATAAGGTGCTATATCAAGGGCAATGGTTATTTTTATGTATCCCCTTAGCCCAAGTCCTCTCATCCTTTCATAATAGCGACCCTCCTTTTTTCCAGAGCAACCGTTCCACTCTGTGTCTAAAGGCAAATGATCTATTGCAGTTAATTAAGCTCAGGTGTGTAATAATCCAAGGCATCTCTATTCTGCCACAACACAGTTTCAAACAAACAATACTGATCACAGTTACCTCCCGGAAGAATTCGAATAGTTTTCAGTAAACTAAAGCCATTTTTTCATCTCCTTTACTCTCTTGTGTAGAAAGCGTCACTGATAATGGTTGTGCTGATATACAATTTGGAGACCTGACTCCAAATAAATGCATTTAACTTGCCCAAAGATGCACATTTGGATCCGAGATTGCCACTACGGAGGGAAATGGAATTGTACCTTTGGAATTCTTTCTGTGGTTCAGGGATGTGTTTATTATGAGGAAGAGTGTTGAGGTGAGATGATAACGCTATTTTCTGTATCAGACATTTCACCAGGATGACAAGGCTGCTGGCTCAACGTATTAAAGTAGGCAGTCATCGTGGATGATGCAGATAGTATGTGGAACTGGAAAGGGAAAAGTGAAAGAGCTGTATTAACAGTATTAACTGTTTACACAGAGCTGGTCTTTTCCAGTTTAGATCAAGGTAATCCAAGTAAAATCCAATCTTGTGGCCTCAGCTCACCTTGTATTGACCTGGTCCATGTTTTGAATTACACACCCGACATGCGTATGATTTTTAGTTTAGTAAAAGAACAGACTTCGACAGGCATCTGATTTGAGTGGCACTGATTTGCAGCACGAAGCTTTTAAGAAGACTTTATCCGGCAATGTGATCATAAATAACACTGGACCATTTACACTAGCTATTGTAATGCACAACAGCTGCAATCGCCAAACATTTCAAACTTTCAGCAGCAGAGCACGGGCGATTAAGGGCCAAGGACCCTGTTTTCAAAAGAGAAATCTTTACCCCCTGCAACTTTGCCTTCAAGCTGCTGCTTATACTGTCAGAGGTTTTGCAGCGGCTCAATACGGTTATTGATGATCTCTATATTCTGAGGGAAGCTTTGTGTTCAATAGGAACTGCAGAAAGAGAAAGCACATTTGCAAATAATCCTTCTTCGAGACGTCTCAAAGCGCTTCACAGAATAGACTGTAAAGTGAACTGACTGTATATTTTGTGGGCAAAATGCAGCAGCCAATTGCGCACAGCAGTGACCCATTGTGGATTCAGTGACCAAATTAGTATTATTGTTATTTTTGAAGGGTTATTACCCTTGGAAAAGTGATCCGAAATCAACCAACAACCAGGTTCCTACTTACTGCTAGGTAAACAGAGGAGTGTCGAGTAACAAAACTTGCCTAAAGTTACGCCCTGCCCGAGAATCAAACCAAGGTCCTCTCGCTTGCGAGGCGAGTGCTCTAACCACTGAGCTACAGGACACTGACAGCTGCTCGTTCTGCGCAGGGTTAGTGTGTGTTGGTGCAGGTGGTCCTGGCCACAGCGCCCCTTAATGCCCCTGGAGGACTGATGGCTGCACAGTCACCCCGGATATAGAGCCACTGAGCTCTTTCCCCTTGGAGTGACCATATATTTGGAGTTTACTGTATTGTCAATATTGGTCACAACGAAGTCCATGACCTGCTCACATTTGAAACAAAAAGTAGAATTTGTTTCACAGAAAACTTTTTAATGAAGCAATTTAACCCATTGTCATTGTGTTTACTACGTTTGCACCACTGTTCTCTATGTTTGTGCCACTGTTCACTATGTTTGTGTCAGTGTGTTCACTATGTTTGTGTCAGTGTGTTCACTATGTTTGTGTCAGTGTGCCCAAGTTTATTTCAGAGCAGTTTTCTTTTTACTCTTCCTGGTTAATTATAGCAAATGAAGGAAAATCAACCCCAGTGTCCCCTGGCACTCCTGGTCAGTGAATGTTGTGGAAAGAACTTGAGAATGGATGTTGGTTAGGTGAGTTTTTGCTCCAAGTAGCACAGTGTTACCTAGTATTCAAGAGCGCCGCTGGGATTGTCACCTGGGCAGAATACAGGAGGCTAAAGAGCACCTTTAGCAGCATATCTCAGAAACCTGTGCACCTTCAGGAAGTCAGAGAGGAAAACTGATGAGACAGGAATTAATCGCACACTTCATAATCAATAATTTTTCACTAAAAAAATTCTCTCAATTTGCTATTACAAAACCTCTCCGGTGAGGTGAGAGCTAGAGTTTGGGCCACTGTGGGAATATGTAGGAGTTGTATCCCCCTCTCCACTCAATCCTCAGGCCAGAGGTGCAAGCCATAAAGAAGAAATTGCATTGGCAGAGGGGAGGCAATGATCAATGGAGATCACCAGCCTGGAAGGAACTTGTGTGACCCAGGGCTGAGGAAAGAGAGGTTTTGGCAGAAACCTGATTTTTCTGCAGCTCAAAAACAGGAAACAAAGAATGAAGAACAGGCACAACTTTCTTACCTTGTAAAATGGCGTTAAAAACCGTGTCAGTGTTTGATTACAAATAACCTATTTTCAGGTCTACAATACAAAGAAAATCGCAAGGTCACAAGAGAAGTGTGGATAAAGAAACCTATCGGCCCATTTGACCTCATCCTTCCAGAATACCCATCCTGCCATCTATCCATTACTGTATCATGTTGTTGGTTAAGGCACTCTACCAAATGCAAGGAATATTATTATTATTATTATTATAAGTGAATCCAATGCCCTTGCTTCAACCACTCTTCCTCATACCCCATTGCAGTTGTACAGAAATACTCAATGGTCTTCCAACATTGCCCTCACCACACCTTGAACCTGTGACCTCTTGTTCTGCTGATGTGGCCTCACTCAAGGGATTGTTCCGAATGACTTTCTCTGTCATATTCCTTTCTAAGGTTCCCTCTGAGAATTTTGTACTGCTGGTTGAAGAACCCTGGCTCTCTATCTTGTGAGGACTGCTTTGGAAGAATGAGGGGTCATCCAGGAACATGAATTTGGTGATTTAAATTTCAGTACTTGAAGCCAAAATACATAATATTAAAACAATTGAAATAAAGAACAAAAAAAAGGCCATGTGGCAAAAGGAATGTCTGGCTTGTGTTGCAAATCCTGTGGTGTTACCATGGCAATGATATTGTCGGAGGAAAATCAAAGCTAGCAACAGAAGTCCAAATTTTCTTTGTGAATTTCACAAAGAAATCACTGGCAAGCGAAAACTTGATGTAAAAGTTTTCCAACAAAACATTTTTCCTTATTGCAAACATGGTACCATTTATTCATACACTGTATATATAAATATTGTACATTTATTTGTTTAAGATGATGCCGTCTCCATGGGGACAGCTATTGTTTTTTCTCAATTGGCGTTGATCATTGTTTTTGCTCTGTGCCCTCTCTGGGGAAACAACGCTGCCTTAACTCTGTAGTACCTCCACATCATGGAGTCCTATAGCTCAGGAGTTACAGCACTCGCCTTGCAAGTGAGAGACCTGGGTTCGATTCCCGGCAGGGTAAGATGTTGGGCAAGTTTCCTTACTCCACACACCTCTGTTTACCTAACAGTAAGTAGGAACCCAGTTGTTATTCGATTAACAGAACTTTTTGCCAGAGGTAACAATTCCTTCAAAAAGCACAATAATAATAATTTGGTCACTCAATCCACGACTGTTTGTGGGACGCTGCTGTGTGCAATTGGCTGCTGCATTTTGCCCACAAATATACAGTCAATTCACTTTACAGTATATTCTGTGAAACGCTTTGAGACGTCTCGAAGAAGTGATAAGGCGCTATATCAAATGCAAGGATATATACTCTGGTAAAAAGTTTACACTCTAGTTTTGAATTGAATATCAGTGGTGGAGAAGAGGATGCACGTACAAAACACATTTTCTACTTTTCATACTTTTGTATTGTTATTGTTAGCTCTATATTCATTATGTAAAATTCAAAAAACGCTTAATTTTACAATATATTCTGTGAACCACTTTGAGATGTCTCAATGATATGACAAGGCTCTATATTAAATTCAAGGATTATTATAACGTGTGCTACTTTTATCAATCTCAATTTGTTCTAACCTCCCTAAAGGCATTATATCAAATAAGGATATTATTGTGTCACCACAGGAACAATTTCTTTTTCAAAATAGCCAGCTTTCTGTGCTGCCTCAGTTCGGTTCTGGGACTGTACAGCAAACTTGTCCTGCTCCTCTCGACTCACATGCCACTGCATCGCCACGTTCTCAGCTGCATCGAGAGGACGAGAAAAGTAATTCGGGAAACGTTCTGTAGCTTCAAACCTTTATACAAATATGTGCATGGCCAAGAGACCGTAGCTATACATAATGATGGCTATCAAGTAACATGCTACTTTACATCTACGTCCGTTCTATGAGCTTGCACAGCTTTGGTTCACACATTCACACCCTCCAAGGTGGTTTTAGGATAACACACACCTTCCTGGCTTCTGTTAGGCCAGTCATCACAGTGTAAAAGTACTGCCCTCGGGTGACTTTGCTTATCTGTCACCACAGAGGATAATTTTAAAGATATATTGTTGCTCTAAAAAGGTTAAAAGCTTGAGCTTCCAAGGAATTCAACCACAGAATCTTTTGGTCTTAAGTTGGCTGAGCCATGTAGGATGCCTGGGTCTCCACCAAGAATAGTATGTTTCTATTCGCGAGGATGTTTAAAGTGCTTCACAACTATGAAGTGTGTAGTGACTGTGTATTTTGTAGGAGCATCTTTAGTCAACAGTCATGTTCCCTTTACAGTTCAGAACAGAATTAACCTCCTCCATATTTTGAACTTCAGAAAGGATTCAGGTTTGTTCCAGTAAATTTGTTCACATTTTTCCAATCATCGATGAGCACCTCCACAGCTGAGGTAGTTAATACACGACTGTGTCTTGGAGGCTGGGAACAGGCACTTTGGATTGCAATCTGAGCTCAAACACATTTTGCCCATTATTTCAGTATCTAATTTTAAGAAATGGTTACAATACATGATTAAATAGAAACAAAAAGAACATTTTCTATTCAAATAACGCCCCCCATTTTTAATCAGAACAATACTATCTTATAAATTTATCAAACCCTGCATATAGATTGCTCCATTCCCAAGCTGCTCTATTTGAGCACTTGGTTGACAAAGGCACTGCCTGGCGTTGAACTGAGACTTGGATGACCCAGATTTGTGCCAGGTTACCTGGTCTCAGCTTGGCAGCAGATGGGATGTTACAATTAGTTTGTATAAGTAGGAGGAAAAATACAGCCAGTGTTCCCACTTCTTATCACATTCAATGGTCCTGGCTGGAAGGTGCTTGTGTGTGGACACACAAGGAAGAGACTTGTCTGTGATATTCCATCTCCTCTCATGGTCAAACAGCCCAGTGACCCTTTACCACTCGGATTCCCACATGAAGTACGGCCACTTTAATGAGATACTGGAGGGCAGCTGGTAGCCTTAGAACTAAACACCACAGATCCTCAGAGAGGTTAGAAAACAGAGGGAAATGCAATTAATTTCCAGTACTTAAATGCAAACCTTGTATTTATTCAGTGACAGTTCTTACCTGTTACACCCATGTGGTAGTTATAAAAGGCGTCCATTAGGCCATCACACAGAATGGTATCCTGAAGGAACATGTCTCCTACTTTGACCCCAACTCGCATTGGAACCACGTGTGAAGCCTGTGATTAAAAGAAGCAGGTTTTAGCTAAGTGTACTTGCTGTGTACTGGGACTCCACATGCAACAAGATCTGGCTGGAGAAAAGGAAGAACTTGCATTTGTATAATGCCTTATTTTGTGGACCACTGGCACCAGTATTGGTGAAAGAGGGAGCTCTTCCATCAGGATGTCATTGAACATATTCAAGACTGAGATTGATTTTTAAAACCTAAAGGATTAAGGGATATGGGGATAGGGCGGGTAACTGGAATTAGGTTAGAAGATCAGCCATGGTCTTATTAAATGGCGGGGCAGGCTTGAGGGGCCGAATGGCCTACTCCTGCTCCTATTTCTTATGTTTTTCATGTTGACAAGACAAGGGCTTTCCTGCTTGGCTCCCGTCAGCATCTCCGCACTTCAGGCATTGGCTCACGTCAGCTCACGGAGACAGTACAGAATATCAAACCAACGATTTATTCAAACCTCATCTTCAACCTTTCATTTGGGGTTTTATCAAGTTGACGTTCTTCGATCTTCACAACACTGACTGCCAACTTCAGCCACAGCCCCCCTTTCCCCACCCCCAGCCACCCTTAACAGCATCTTTTGCCCTATTATTATTATTTATTATTATTATTTCCCCAATCCCTCAACCTATCTCCCCGGCAGGGGCTGGGGGGGGGGGGGGCAGGGGCAGGGGGGGGGCAGGGGGCAGGGGCAGGGGGGGCAGGGGGCTTGGGGGGCAGGGGGCTGGTGGGGTGCAGGGTGGGGGCAGGGGCTGTGGGGGGCAGGGGGTGCAGGGGGGCAGGGGGTGCAGGGGGGGCAGGGGGCTGGGGGGGCAGGGGGAGGCAGGGGGCTGGTGGGGTGCAGGGTGGGGAGGGGGCAGGGGGGCAGGGGGCTGGGGGGGCAGGGGGCTGGGGGGGGCAGGGGGCTGGGGGGGGGCAGGGGGCTGGGGGGGGGCAGGGGGCTGGGGGGGGGGGGGGCGCTGTGGTGATGGTAATAGTGATGGTTAAGGACCCGCACAAACAGCTTCAATTATCCTTCAGCTGTTTGCAGGAAATCCGCCTCCAGAGCAGCGCCTCCGCACACACACACACACCCCCAGTGTCCGGGGGTCCCCCCCAGTGTCCTCCACTGGAAAGGATCACAACTCACAGCGCTGCACCGAGTGCAGGAGGCGGGGGGGGGGGGGGGGGGCACCAGGCAATCCGCCCCGAAACCCCCCGCCATCCCTCCCAGTCACCGAGTGCAGGAGGCGGGTGGGTGGGACCAGGCAATCCGACACGCCCCGCCCTCCCTGCCAGTCACCCCACCCCTGGGCCGGTCCCTGCAAGGGCCGGTCCCTGCAAGGGCCGGTCCCTGCAAGGGCCGGTCCCTGCAAGGGCCGGTCCCTGCAGCCGGTCCCTGCAAGGGCCGGTCCCTGCAAGGGCCGGTCCCTGCAAGGGCCGGTCCCAGGGCCGGTCCCTGCAAGGGCCGGTCCCTGCAAGGGCCGGTCCCTGCAAGGGCCGGTCCCTGCAAGGGCCGGTCCCTGCAAGGGCCGGTCCCTGCAAGGGCCGGTCCCTGCAAGGGCCGGTCCCTGCAAGGGCCGGTCCCTGCAAGGGCCGGTCCCTGCAAGGGCCGGTCCCTGCAAGGGCCGGTCCCTGCAAGGGCCGGTCCCTGCAAGGGCCGGTCCCTGCAAGGGCCGGTCCCTGCAAGGGCCGGTCCCTGCAAGGGCCGGTCCCTGCAAGGGCCGGTCCCTGCAAGGGCCGGTCCCTGCAAGGGCCGGTCCCTGCAAGGGCCGGTCCCTGCAAGGGCCGGTCCCTGCAAGGGCCGGTCCCTGCAAGGGCCGGTCCCTGCAAGGGCCGGTCCCTGCAAGGGCCGGTCCCTGCAAGGGCCGGTCCCTGCAAGGGCCGGTCCCTGCAAGGGCCGGTCCCTGCAAGGGCCGGTCCCTGCAAGGGCCGGTCCCTGCAAGGGCCGGTCCCTGCAAGGGCCGGTCCCTGCAAGGGCCGGTCCCTGCAAGGGCCGGTCCCTGCAAGGGCCGGTCCCTGCAAGGGCCGGTCCCTGCAAGGGCCGGTCCCTGCAAGGGCCGGTCCCTGCAAGGGCCGGTCCCTGCAAGGCCGGTCTCTGCAAGGCCGGTCCCTGCAAGGGCCGGTCCCTGCAAGGGCCGGTCCCTGCAAGGGCCGGTCCCTGCAAGGGCCGGTCCCTGCAAGGGCCGGTCCCTGCAAGGGCCGGTCCCTGCAAGGGCCGGTCCCTGCAAGGGCCGGTCCCTGCAAGGGCCGGTCCCTGCAAGGGCCGGTCCCTGCAAGGGCCGGTCCCTGCAAGGGCCGGTCCCTGCAAGGGCCGGTCCCTGCAAGGGCCGGTCCCTGCAAGGGCCGGTCCCTGCAAGGGCCGGTCCCTGCAAGGGCCGGTCCCTGCAAGGGCCGGTCCCTGCAAGGGCCGGTCCCTGCAAGGGCCGGTCCCTGCAAGGGCCGGTCCCTGCAAGGGCCGGTCCCTGCAAGGGCCGGTCCCTGCAAGGGCCGTCCCTGCAAGGGCCGGTCCCTGCAAGGGCCGGTCCCTGCAAGGGCCGGTCCCTGCAAGGGCCGGTCCCTGCAAGGGCCGGTCCCTGCAAGGGCCGGTCCCTGCAAGGGCCGGTCCCTGCAAGGGCCGGTCCCTGCAAGGGCCGGTCCCTGCAAGGGCCGGTCCCTGCAAGGGCCGGTCCCTGCAAGGGCCGGTCCCTGCAAGGGCCGGTCCCTGCAAGGGCCGGTCCCTGCAAGGGCCGGTCCCTGCAAGGGCCGGTCCCTGCAAGGGCCGGTCCCTGCAAGGGCCGGTCCCTGCAAGGGCCGGTCCCTGCAAGGGCCGGTCCCTGCAAGGGCCGGTCCCTGCAAGGGCCGGTCCCTGCAAGGGCCGGTCCCTGCAAGGGCCGGTCCCTGCAAGGGCCGGTCCCTGCAAGGGCCGGTCCCTGCAAGGGCCGGTCCCTGCAAGGGCCGGTCCCTGCAAGGGCCGGTCCCTGCAAGGGCCGGTCCCTGCAAGGGCCGGTCCCTGCAAGGGCCGGTCCCTGCAAGGGCCGGTCCCTGCAAGGGCCGGTCCCTGCAAGGGCCGGTCCCTGCAAGGGCCGGTCCCTGCAAGGGCCGGTCCCTGCAAGGGCCGGTCCCTGCAAGGGCCGGTCCCTGCAAGGGCCGGTCCCTGCAAGGGCCGGTCCCTGCAAGGGCCGGTCCCTGCAAGGGCCGGTCCCTGCAAGGGCCGGTCCCTGCAAGGGCCGGTCCCTGCAAGGGCCGGTCCCTGCAAGGGCCGGTCCCTGCAAGGGCCGGTCCCTGCAAGGGCCGGTCCCTGCAAGGGCCGGTCCCTGCAAGGGCCGGTCCCTGCAAGGGCCGGTCCCTGCAAGGGCCGGTCCCTGCAAGGGCCGGTCCCTGCAAGGGCCGGTCCCTGCAAGGGCCGGTCCCTGCAAGGGCCGGTCCCTGCAAGGGCCGGTCCCTGCAAGGGCCGGTCCCTGCAAGGGCCGGTCCCTGCAAGGGCCGGTCCCTGCAAGGGCCGGTCCCTGCAAGGGCCGGTCCCTGCAAGGGCCGGTCCCTGCAAGGGCCGGTCCCTGCAAGGGCCGGTCCCTGCAAGGGCCGGTCCCTGCAAGGGCCGGTCCCTGCAAGGGCCGGTCCCTGCAAGGGCCGGTCCCTGCAAGGGCCGGTCCCTGCAAGGGCCGGTCCCTGCAAGGGCCGGTCCCTGCAAGGGCCGGTCCCTGCAAGGGCCGGTCCCTGCAAGGGCCGGTCCCTGCAAGGGCCGGTCCCTGCAAGGGCCGGTCCCTGCAAGGGCCGGTCCCTGCAAGGGCCGGTCCCTGCAAGGGCCGGTCCCTGCAAGGGCCGGTCCCTGCAAGGGCCGGTCCCTGCAAGGGCCGGTCCCTGCAAGGGCCGGTCCCTGCAAGGGCCGGTCCCTGCAAGGGCCGGTCCCTGCAAGGGCCGGTCC